GTGGCAATAAGTTAATAATAGTAAAATAAGTAAATAATTAAGTAAGGAATATTGTAAACAAATGTTGCCAAACTTAAATAAATAAACAAATGCCAATACAGCGTCCCAATAAACGAATGGATAACTTAGAAAAAAAAATAAAGCGAACCAAGAGCTGAAAACGTTCGATTACTTCGAAAAGATTATCTGTCGGTTTAGCTAAAATAAATTACTGTAACTGATTCAACATTATTTTTTTTAATTGTATAATCACTCTTCTGACCGAAACCAAAAAGTCGAAACTATCATAATTCCATCAAGATACATCTCCGGTGATTAATTTATACAACAAAGAGTCGTTTGAAAAAAATAATGATTAGATTTTTCAACTAAATTCAACTGGATTTCTAGGAATCAATCAAAACGTTCCATTAAATTATTCACAGAGGGAGCGCTGACGATCGATTCATCCAATGCTAACAGATTTTTTTTAATTTGTAGGCTATTATTATTTATTGCGATAAAGTATTGAAAGGAGAATTGCAATTCTAGAAACATCACGAGAATTTTTTCTACTTATGATAACAGATATGTCTGCGTTCTATCAAAAGGCTCGCAACTCAAAGCCGTAAACGTAATAAAGAAACATGTTTGTTTACGTGCTATAAAAATAGGAAATATTGTGTATATGGGTAAATAATAGAGGAATATATCGCCAAATATACACATAAAAAAACACTCAGTCAAATTGAAAATCTCTTCCATTTTGATGCCGATTATAAAAATAAGGGATTTTTCAGACGACCCACTACTCGTGGGCGGGTAGAAGCTTTATATTTTTAAGTTATTGGTAAGATGATATGAAAAAAAATTACAATCATAACAAACTTTAACAAAACTTAATACGCTCTTGGGAGACAGACAGTCACGTCGACCAAATGATTAAGAAGCGTCGCAGCCATTATTATTAAAAGAGATAAAAAAGAAGACACGACGTACAGTCACATTGTATAAATGTGATATTTATTCTCAAGTTATTCTGGTCAAATTAATTTAAAAATTATAGGTAGCTATTCTCCACGGATTCACTCGCGTGATTTCCCCGTTTCTGCAACATTTTTCATTTCTGCTCCACTCCTATTAGTCATAGCGTGATGTTACACTGCCTCAATAAATGGACTGTTCAACACAAAAATATTTTTTTTCAATTCGAACCAGTAGTTCCTGAGATTAGCGCGTTCAACCAAACAAACAAACTCTTCAGCTGTATAATATTATTAGTATAGATGCGATTTATCGATCACACGCCACAAGAAATAATACAATAGAAGTTGTAATATAAACAATTCATTAACCACCAATACGCATTGGGCAAGCGTGGAGGTTCATAGACCATTCTCCTTAACCATCCATAAGGAAGGCCTGACCAAGAAAAATCGGTAATTATTCAATTTACCACCCTCCTACAGTTCGGATCAGTATTTCCGGAGATTGCCACCTAATACGAGTATGAACAATATTAGAAAGTTTACTTCTTTATAAGTATAAGTATATAATAGCGTTACAAATGATGATTATTCAACTAAAGAGGACTGTAAAATACAAAAATTTAACATTTGTACTCAAATATTTTCACGCTAAATGTTCTTTTAAAAAACAAAAGACATTAACACGGATCATTATTCGTTGTTTGAATCTATTAATGTTTTGAGAATGCCTCTCTGTAAAAAAATGTACAAAAATTAAATAAGTACCCATTAATATCACGTTTCTGTTATAAATTTCGTTTAAGTACCTATTTAAAATAGTCTTCAAATGAAATTATCAATTGAAAACTGCTATTTAATCTTGCCAACAATTCTTTGAATAATAATGTTATTTGTTAAATACTAAAAGGACATACTGAATTAAGGAACATATTTTCATCAGTGGAAAAAATACTTCTACTTAAATAATCCTTTTATAATAATCCATTAACTTGAATTTTTGATGCTAAATTTACTATTTTTTCCATTCTCATTAAAGATTACCTGATGATAGTAAAGAAAAATCTAATAAATTTCAGATGCATGCCATTCAGTGCAAATCGTAAAAGTCGGTTTATGTTAAGTTTTATGAGAGCAGCTGAAATCTTTTACTATATGAAGCACGGATTATTTAAAATGAGAAATAACGAACGTCATACATAAACTTAGAGAAAATCCGTTAATATCTTGTGTCTTCTTTATGTGTGATTAATTCTATTTGGGAAACAATCTGTGACCTCAAAGATGGCGACACCTTGAAACCGGCGGGTTACATGGCCACGAAATATCTCAAATAATATTTATGTAAGACTTTCAAGTGTTACACAAAATTTTTACCTTTCAATATTTTTTACAGCTATAACAACTTAACTTATTGATTTATTTTATCATGTCTACCAATATTATCCTATTAATCATCACTACATGTTATAAAACAAAGTCCCCCGCCTCTTCTGTTTTGTCTGTTCGCGATAAACTCGTAAAGTGCTGGACAAATTTTCATGCGGTTTTCAACAAAAGATGTGAGCAATTCTTGAGGAAGGTTTCAGTGCATTGTAAGTTTAGGTTTTGTTCAAACTACCAATATTATAACGATATTAGTTCAATACGTCGGAAAAAATAAAGCCGATCGGAAGCTTTCCTCGAAAACGCTGCCAAAACTTTTGAGTTATAACAAAACATTGTATGTTGGAATTGTACATCTTTAATAGATCTACAAGAAAGTCGGCAGTGGTGTATGTCTATATTCCAAGGATAACTTACAATAACCATTTTTACGTATACTTAAAACAGTGAAATAATGGGTTATTTACGAACCTATTTTTAACAATACAGTATTAATCCTTATTCAAATAAATACATTAGATACGTTATGCATGTAATGTATATAAGATTTTTTATAAAGGTACCGCTTTATAAAAAATCTTTTATCGAAGTTTCAAATTATATATTTAGTAGTATTTAGTAGTTATAAATGTAAAAGTTTCTTTGTTTGACTGTTTGGGTGTTTGTCCGACTATCACGCCGAAACTACTGAATGAATTTTGATAAAATTTGATATAAAAATACGGTATTAGGTGACTGAGATAATAGAATACTTTTTATCCCAATAAACATTTCCCTAGGGACCACGCGGAAGAAACCGCTGGCGAAAGCTAGAGCGAAATAAAATAACCTAACACAAATGCGAAAATCGAACTAAAAATAAGAGAAACAAGTTGTATTATGGCTAAGCTCAACAAAATTCTCAATGCAATCGGGGTCTTCTTAAGTTACAAATATCCCACAGAACGCTGCACCGACTACAATGAGAGTTTTATGCCTAGCCACCATATTGAATATTTTTTAAATATACAATATGGCGGAAGTATGACGCCATTACACAAGAATGAAAAACCTTTATTCCTTAATTATAGAAATATGGGAATCAAATTATAGGTCTTGGTGACTATTAGGTGACATTACAAAAATATATAATTTGATAATTAACTCTCTAAAAGAAATGAAATAAAAATAAATAATTTGAAAATAAAAAACACGACTGCCAAAATCGAACTAGAAACAAAAGAAACAAGATGTATTATGGCTTAGCTCAAAAAAACTGTTTAGATTGCAAATGTTCCGCAGAACGATTCCCTTTTGTTCCAAATCGCAATACAAATGTAATTTCATTGCAAGTTTAAAATTAATTCAGTACATAAATTTGTGACGTTTATACGACACCGATACAGATAAAACTTGAACAACGTTTATTCGACAAAAGTTGCCCATCCAATGAAACTAAAATTGTACCCCAGCGTATATTTTCCTTTGTTACTGTTCGCGAAAAAATGTTCTAACTTTATTACGAAAACTGTCAGCAGCCGAGAGCGTGTATTATTTCTTTGACGAAAAATCGAACGACAGAAATTCAAACAAGATTTTTTAAGTCGAATTTCATTTTTAAGTACGCAATCAAAACTATATACTTACATATTTAACTAATTTCATTGGCGTGATTTGTTTTTCTCTTCTGATTGCAGACTGAATACATCATTATCAAATTTAATTTAAGAACATATGGTATGTATTCATGCAGATAAAGAATTTAATTGACTGATTGAGGTAATTTGGATCATGTCGACTTTATTTACAGATCGAAAATTAACAAGATTTATTAAAACGGATTATAATTTATTCTATTTCTAGTAACTTTATATTACAGCTATATATAATGATCCAGAAATGACTACTTAAATTAACATTATTCCATATTGATGCTTGGAGTCCTTGGGATAAGTGTAATAAATAACTCGAAATTCAGGCAAACTGACTTAAGTACATTGTGATCAGAAAAATGAGCTGTATAGATAGATCTTTTTATTTTTATTGACAGTTGTTTTGATTCTCAAAGATACACACAAAACAAAATTAAATGTTAAATTGCGATTATCTTAAAAGTACCATTGCATTGTTCTTTATGAACTGTTAAATATAAATAAACAAACAAAAAATAATAATTGTACAGAAAATGGATCCTTACGCGTTTTTCTGGTATATTGACATTTGAACTGTAATAAAAATAGCTACATAAAAAGCTTTTATTTACCAATGTTAAGATATATCCATTAGAAAACCAAATATATATATATATATTTGCTATTTTAACACAACATTTCGGCGTGACTACAATTAGTGTTTAACCACTGTTTATTCTTGCCCTTTAATCAAAGTTCTGATACAAGTGACAAAATTCTCGCATTAGATAAAACTAACGAGCTTACTGCTTAGCATTTAAAATAGCCACTGGCTACAATTTTTCCACGGGCGGCAAATATTAAAATGCAAATGGCGGTTTGTGCGCGCCCCGTACAAACTCTTCTCTTTGATGCACTTTCGTGAAACTTTTATGAGCTTACACATTCTTACAAGATGTCACAGTGTCATTACCAAACATGTGGTGAAAAAGTTTTTAATTGTTTATATACTTATACTTAATTCATCTGTGAAATATATCTTAAAACATATCTGTTTTACTAAACTTAAATAAGACGTAAACAGAAATCTTTTATATTGGCATCAATTAATAACACCAAAAAACTTTGTCGCTTTTATATACGTATATTTAATTCGATACAAATTTAATATCAGTTCTTTCTGTGTTTACTGTTGCGACTTCCCGAAGTTGGCTCATCTTTCTCCAAAAGTTCTTCGTCAATCAATAAATCGAAATTGCCTAATGCTTCGGCACTTGGTAATTTATTCCACCGCACATCTGGCACACCATCCGGGGGAAGAACGACAGATAATATATTGTCAATTAATTTGTATTTCAATATTCTATCATTTACAGTTGTCGATGTCAATGAAGGCGATGCATTAACTTCTACAAGCCATGGCTTCAGTTGGTTATCTATAATTATATCGTACCCGTAACACTCAAAACAGTGCCTGTCATTTGCCATTACAGAAGCGACGGCTTTTAATGAATGAACAATTAGCCACTGCATTGCTGCGAATAATTTCTCTGTGACCGCTCTGCCTCGGCTCCCTTCTAAAAATAAACGTAAGTTCTGCACGCTCATTTTCCCTCCATGAATGCTGTTATAGTCACCCCCGTGTTTCTGTACACTAACGTTAGTGAGATGTACATACATGTTGTCTAACTCGGTGACACTCGTATCGTATTTTACTGTGCAAAACCTGCAAAAGCCGAGTTGGAAGAGATAAGCCTTTAGGGGTCTAAAGGAAGTAACCAACACGTAGAGTCTCAAATCGAACTTTTTACCTCCTATTAGTAAAGGATTGTCTATGTAACGCGAAATCACGTAACTTTCTTTGCTTAGTTGCGGGTGGAAGGGAGTTTTCGCCTCACGGGACCATTTCTTCAGCTTCGATAGTTTGTTTATAAGAAAGATACCGGTGCCTTGTGATTTTCCACATGGCTTCATAATCCAAGTACTCTGTGGAGATTTTCGATATTCTTCCACGAACATGTTGTAGTCCGCAGGTAGCACAAACGTGATAGGTACAAAATCTAAATGAACATAACGTGTCACGACTTGTCCACCATGTAAGACTACTTCTGCTTTCTCAGCTAACGGACTGCCTTCCCTTTCTAATTCTTTCCTATAACGTTTTATGTTTTTGACAAGTAAATCTTTTCTTGACAACTCGTAATGATTCGGAAAGTGATTGATTATTTGATTGTCATTCATTCTATAGCCACTTTCCACACTAAAAAGGTTTCTACACGTTTGTGTGGACGCCCAATAGAAGTTCCACTCGTCATCCGGTCCAACTTGATTCCAGCCGCGTCTCTCGAAATTGCTCATCAATACCGACTTCTCCAAGTCGGTGCAAAAGTTGACGCGACATCTCTCAACTGCGGGCGCATTAACTCTTCCGTAAATACTGTTCGATATTTTCTTCGCGTCCTGATTCATGGTGATTCAGTAACGTGAAAAGTTAGTAGCTATATTGATCAAATATTTGCGGCACAGGTGTGTACCGTTGTCATGGCGTTCGACAAATATAGCCCGCTATTGGCCGATATCCAATCTCGTTCATTTCACTATGACTACGTGCGAACATTGCTTTTATTGAATTTAACATTTTATCGAAGTTTTATACAAATAGAGATTGTAATTTTTTGCTGCATTAAAGATTTATTCGGTCTCCTTTTCCTATTTTGTAGGCAAAATACTACCAAAATTAAATGATATCAATTTAATGCACTTCTATTCTACACTGTCTCACTTAGTTTAATAGAACATGTAGATAAATTGATATGCTTATAAATTATTGTTAAGTAATGTACTACTTAGGAAAATAGGATGTGTCTTGGGGAAACTAAATAGATCCTTATTTTATCCATATACGAAATTGAACAAGACAAAAACAAAGTTGTTATTGTAAGTGATGTGTAAACTGTGCTGATTCTTTGCTGTCTGCCAGACAAAATAAACAGCACAATAACGTAGAATTGGACCTTTCTAGTAACAAAACACGACGGAAAATATAGATAACAGAACAAAACTGAATGTACTGTACAATGAATCTTCTAGAATAAATCTATGTTTTAATTTTTGGTCACAAATCTGGAAGTACTAAAAAAGATTTTTTTTTATGTATTTAATATTTTTAAATATGGTACATTAATTTATCTAAACTATATAAAGGTATATATAAAGGCTGCATTGAGATTTCAACCTAATTATCTAAACTATATAAAGATAGGTACATGAGATTTCAACCTAATTTCACAGTAGTACGAGTAGTAAAGGATATTGAACATTACCCCTAAAGTAAACAAGGTCTAAAATAGCGCGCACTTTAATCTGTGTTCAAATAAATTGACTTTATCTGGACACGGCCCTAATTGACGGCAAAGTGAAAAGCACCAGGAACAGGCGTGCCTAAACGAGATCCTCACTGAATATGAATGAACTAAGATAAATGTTTGGTTCGTGAATGACGTTGAGTCCCCATCGATTAGTATTATTCAAGGTAGTGCCGTCTAATAACGCCTCCTGGTTATGAAAACTTGAGTGCTAAATATATAACGGAAAACGTCGAGGACATAGTGAAGTGTAATCCATAATAGTACTTGGATGATGCAATGTTCATTCTTGTCGCGTAAAAAAGGCGCTGGCGAGGTACGGGGATACGACAGAGCGTTAAGAAGTTTATATAATAACTAAATAAGTTTACTTATGATAAGGGACTATTTATTTCGATGATATGCTATTTATTTCAATTGCTTTGTCCTACGGTAGTCGTAAGTGTAAGGGAATTTTACTAATATTTATATTGTGCAAAGTACCTGTGGTAATTAAGGCACGCAGCGAAATAAGGCCCGCAATGGAAATTTCGTGATTAATACTTTTACTTCTGTTCAAACTTTACTTATACACGCCGTATCTATCGGTGTTAGGCATGTGCGAATAAAGATATCATTGCCGCTGGTACTGAACTTTTGAAGCTTATCCATTCGAATTACTTAATTCATACGCTATATAACATTGTACTTGGGAATTCTAAGTTTTGTGACGTCACATTTTATAATTTAAATCCTGAGTTTAAATGATAATAAAACTTATTTGAGAGTCTCACAAATGGAACCAGTTGTGACATAAATAGAATGGACCCATTGGATGTAATCGAATCGAATTGGGAAGACGGACGATAACTAACCACGTAGACCCAGTGGGTGTTAATAACTACAGATGCATCCTAGACCGGTTTAACATACCTTCCGAAAGACGGAGGAGCTCGAGATAATTTTTTTTTTTTTATTTTAGGTAAAATGCTTTCAGCATACCCCGCAGCATAGCGAGCGAAGAGGCTATGTGGGAGACCGACAGATGCCTACTTACTAAAACCTACAACATAGGGACATGAGACCAGGGAAACCGTAGCCGAGATGGTCACCCATACCATGAATAACCGTTGCGAATGTTACTTAATTTCCACATCGCAGACTGACCACGCTAACTACTACGCCATCGAGCTGCTCATGTAAACTACAACTATAAGTAGATACTGCCTGAGGCCTTACTAAGTGGACATCGATACTCTAATCCCAGGGGCACCTTTCAACCGAAGCAGGATATGGTGACTATATAGGATCCCTTCCAGGATTATTATTCAGCTAACAAATATATGGTTTAAAAGGAAATTTCTAAGCTTAAAATCTTGTTCATTATTTTATACTAAATAGTAAATTTGAGAGTATGTCTGTTGTTTTAATAATAAATATTAGATTGTTAATGAATAATAAATATTGAAACATAGATTGTCCAGTTATAATTATGAGAAAAATCTATTAGTCTGATTGCGCTCTTATTTATTTTATTTTTTATATAGACAAACTTTAATCTTCCCTTAAGGTAAGATTTTACTTATCCCAAAATGTATGGCCTTTCCTGTCTTTCTTTTTACGAAAATATAAAGTCAATAGCAGACATGAGTAGCAGAATAAGATAAGTATGTTTTTATATTTTTATGCTGGTTAACAATATACATATGGACTACATTCTTAATGGAGAATGCTTAAAAAATCCACTCTGTCCTTGGCACACCGAGATGGGACTTGAATCCATGCACTTTCGAAATCTGGGTGACTGCTCTAACCACTGAGCTACCCAGGACCTAACAGGACTGACGAATCTTTCAAGCACTTGCTACTTTTCGCTACTACAGGGCGTATTCTCATCAATGTTCAGGCATCCACCCAAACAGCCGAAAGAAATATGGACTATCCCAACATGAATGGCTTTCCTGTCTGCCTTTTTTTCAAATAAAAAGTCAATAGCAAACATGAATAGAAGAGACATTTACGTAACGACTTATTAAATCTTCTAAAGCACCACATTTTAATCAAAGCTATATAAGAAATATTGGTGGTATTTTTTTATATCTCTTCGTTGAAAATACAACTGCATGTATAAATTTAATTACAGTTGCTGCATTCATTTAAAATTGTATGCGTGTAATGAATTGTTCATATTGCAAGCATCGTTATAAAGCTAATTATTCACGTATTAAATAAAATTATTATTAACGTTCAATTTAATGAACAGAATATTAATGATGATTGTATATGAAAAAAATCGGTGGATTAAGCTGCTTTACTTTATTATAACATGCTAGATAAAATTTAAAAATATCGGTTTTTGGTATTTGTTTTTATAGAATACTAGCTGATAGCGAACGTTATTTTACTATATAAATTTAGGGTGGACCCTTATCACTTTAGGGTGTAAGATCTTTTCTCAGATCTACTGGATTACCATCACCAGACTTTTAATGTCTAATCTATTGGGGCTCAACCTTTCATGTGGATAGAATCGAATATGGACAATGGGCCATAACCCACCACGCGGAATACACAGTGTGGATTAGTGTTCCAACGCGACTTCCGAAGCACGCAAGAGCTCAATATAACAAATTTTTGGTCACCCATCCTGTGACCAGCCATTGCGAAATACATTACCGCATCGCGCACTAACCACTGTCCTATCAAGCTCCTACTAATATATACATATAAAATTACATTCAAGATCGGTTAAACCGTTTCGGAGAAGTATGGTAACTAAATTATATAATTTGCAATTACACAAAAAATATTTTTATTCATATTACTCGTAATAACGCAAACTTAAATCCAGAAACGAAAGGAGAAAGTCTGAGATTTTCAATATAGAAAATAATACTCCGATAGCCAAATGTTTTATAACTTTATACTCAGTAAAGATAGTATCCACTTCGGAATAAATTTACCTAATGCGTTTTCTCATATTTTAAGCATATAAATATGTTCAGTATATAATTAAACTCGCTTTAGAAATCGCTCAAGAGTTTGAGAGTTCACGTTCCAAACTTTCTGATACTACCCAAACGGCGCATAACATATAACTTATACACATACGTTATCAAAACAAATCCCATTTGTTGAATCCAAACGGATGGTTTCTAACACTCACGTCGTTCCCAATTAAAACAAGGCTTAAGTTTTAATAGTATGAAGATTTACGCTAGGCCTTTACCCATTGAAGGACGCAACCCGCGACTGACTTCTGCGGTCAGAACGATCGGCATTTGTTATTTTAATGATATCATCACCTCAATTATGCTGACCCCTTTAATGAAAGGTCCACACTTACACCACCTGCGTATCATTACGATATAATAAAATGATATAGCCAGTAGAGTGCCACGTAATATCATATGTACATTATAATAAATGAGTGTTATATATGTATATGTGGACTGACCGTGTCGTTCATTTTGTAGTTCAGTGGATCTTATAAATATGTTATTAGGTATATGAAATATTTACTCATTTACAATATGATACGTTTTCTGTATTACATATATTGAAAGAACAAATAAGTCAAGAAGATTAAATACTAGCTGCTGCTTTCCGCGGAGCCGCTTCCGCGGTGTTCACTTGGAAAGCATTTAGTATAAAGCAGCCCATATTAATCCAGGCTTAGAATATAATTTAATAACGACCTCCGTAGCCGAGTGGTTCGCACGCCAGTTTCAAGGTGTCGACATCTCTTAGGTCCCGGGTTCTGTTCCCAGTCAACGTAGAAAATGTTATAATTACAATGAGAAATTGAGTAGTAAAGAATCGTTATTATGGTAAAGTTTTAATTGCCCATACACACTTCCACTCCCATTTTCATCCCTTTAAATGCTGTTTTTCAGGATAAAATATAGCATATGTCCACCGCATATGATGTAGGTTTCCGTAGGTAAAACGTTTCGGTGCTTATTCGATGCAAAGAAATAATCAAATCTTTCCACTTTATAGATAGAAGTATAGATAATACCTACTTATTTTCATTTCCTTCTATTTAAAAGCTAAAAATATTATACAGGAAGTTACTCTTTGTCATGCGATAACTGTATAGCTAGAACAGAGAATACAAGCGGACAAATCCCTAAAAGAAGCTTTTGTCG